GACTTTTTCAAAGGTAACAGTAGCAGGGTCTCTAAAATTTCCATTTTTTGTTTTCTTGATTTGAGATCTTTATAGTAAACAGGAGCTGCCTTAAGAACCCAGCACTGATTTCAAAAAAACAATTTCTCCATTTTTAATATTTTTTGGTACACATTAAGGCAAAATATATAAGATAGGAAATCAGGGAAGATTTTGAAATCTTATTCCTGGACGGATGGCATTAGGGGCTGGTACATGGAAGGGAAGTGGATATCAAAGAGGACATCTCAGTTTTCACAATTTTATCCAAGCTTCATGACCCAATTTCCAATTATCCCTGAATCATCAACTCCAGGTATAGCTATGACATGAAGACCAAATAAAATATACTTTCTACCTTTCACCAAAACAAAATTAGAAAGCTTGTTAGTAATTATATGTACTATTTTTCCATGTATTTCCCTTAAGCCTTGAGTTTATACAGACCTCTATTCTTGTCTTTTGGAAAAGCTAACCCAGCGTGTGTACAAGGGGATGGAACTGCCTAGTTAGAACCATTAAACTCATCACACCATGCAGGCTGCAATTTGAAGATATGCTTTATTGCCGTTAGGCAATTGAGTTTGTGACCCTTGAAGAGCCATTCCAATTTTTCCCCCTTTCATTGTGTATGAAGAGACTTAACTTATGAGGTACATTAGGGGAATTATACAAAATCTTTTCAACTTTTGCCTTAATACCTAGAGTACAGAATTGAATATAGTCGGGGAGAGACTGACCTACAAATGAAGGCAAACTGCACATGCGTACCACCCCAACAATAACTCTTCCTGAGGCTTACTGTTCCATGTCCCTTTCTGGGGATATGGATGCCAGCTCGCTATTGACAATGTTCTATCATGTCCAAATGAGACAGGATGCGGAAGTTCTAGAAAAACAACAGCTACATCAAGCTTCAGAGATGCATCACTGGGAGGGAAGAAGTGCCTTGCCTGTCATTACTCCAGTCATAATATAACAGCCAAAATGTTTCTGAAACTGCCATTTATGATGCTGTATTAGTGTATGAGGGCTGCTATAATAATATACCAGAGACTTGGTGGCTGAAAAAAACCCCAGAAATTTATTTCCTTACAGCTCTGGAGGCTAGAAGTCCAAGACCAAAGTATTGGCAGGTTTGGTTTTGCCTGAGGTCTCTCTCCTTGGCTTGCAGACAGCCTCCTCCTCCCTGTGTCCTCACATGGTCTTTTTCTGCATGTGTTCTCCCTGTGTCTCTCCTGCTTCTTATGAAAACATCAGTCTCATTGGGTTAGAATCCTTCCATATGACCTCATTTGATCTTAATTTCCCCTTTACTGGACCTGTTTCCAAATACAGTCACATTCTGAGGTGTACTGGAGGTTAGTTAGAACTTCAACAGGTAATTTAGGAGAGACACAATTCAGTCATAACATTGTCCTCAAAGCAAACCTTTAATATAGCAATAAAGTCTAACACTAAGTGGTCCCTTTGTTCCAGATACTGTCCTAAGCCTCAAAGGTCTATTAACCCATCATTCTCCTAATAAACTCTCTCATGTTGGCACATTCTTACACATGAGAAAACGGAGGCACAGAGGCTAAGAAATATGCCCAAAGGTCACACATCTAGCAGATGGCAAGCCTGGGCAGTTGGGGATATTTAAATCCCATAATCTGCCTCAAGAGCCGTATGCTTGACCACTGTCCTCTATGCCCCAGGCTTTAAAGGCATGGATGCCAACTTCGGATGTATGAGACCGTCCCAGTGGAATCAACTGCCAATCAATGAGAATAATTTAACTAAAGGCATTCTCTGTGCTCTCATGATGCAGTTCTACTCTATAAACAAAACTATCAATTGTTCACTCTTTCTCATGATTCCAGAGTATGTTGCATGTGACTCGCATAGTGGTGAAATCAGTGGGCTGTGGGGCTGCACTGCCTGGCTTTAAAATAGGAGCTCTGCTACCTCTAACTGAGCAACTTTGGGCAATACTTAACTGCTCTGGTTCCTCATCTGTAAAATGAAGATGATAACATCACTCACTTCCTGGGGCTCTCATGAAGGTCAGGGGGGACAGTCCATGGCAGGGGTCCTCAAACTTTTTAAACAGGGGGCCAGTTCACTGTCCCTCAGACCATTGGAGAGCTGGACTATAGTTTAAAAAAAAAACTATGAACAAATTCCTATGCACACTGCACATATCTTATTTTGAAGTAAAAAACAAATGTTTTCGGTGGGCCGCATGTGGCCCGCGGGCCGTAGTTTGAGGACCCCTGATGTAAAGTATCAGCAGAGTACCAGACACAGTACACATTCAATAAATGTTGGATGACTCTGTCTATCTGATACTTTTTAAGTGATAAACTGTGCAAAGAGTGGGTGTTTCATAAAAGCTTGACTAAGTTCTGCTACATGTCATGTTACAAAGGAATATTTTCATGAGAAATGTACAAAACCTCCCCCAAACAAGTTAATTGGAATCTTAGAATGTCCCCTTGTGTTTCATTTATACTTCTAAGTCTCAAATACACAGTTACATTTCCAGGAAGTTTGTGTTTATATCTTTAAATATTGCAGTAATAGAAGATCTTAGAGTACAAAGAAATAATTTATGCAGATATATAAGAACCACTTAACAATGGATATGAGAAAAATCAAGCCAATGTCATAACATCACTGTGAGGAAATAAGAAAGCAATGAATACCATGGCCAAAAGAATAGTCAAGATCATTCTCAAAATAAAAGCTTTTGTAACAATACTTGGTTTTCTTATGCATAAAGCAGAATTACAATTATGGATTGCTAGGAGAATCGAGTAGAACAGTGTACAAAACACATTATAAATGCCAATGCCTACTTATGGAAAGTCTTCAGAATAAAAATACTTCATTGTTGCTTTTATATAAGCCATTCAGGTGTGGCTTTGAAATTTGTAAATTTTTAAAGCTCCTTAGAAGTTTCTTATAATTGTCCAGGTCTAGAAACATATTAGATGTGCAATTAAGGATGCCATTATCTTTACTATATCAGTATAATTTCAGGTTTCAATTCAAATTGTAACTCTTATACGATAGCTCTTTGGAGACACAAGTCAAATTTGTGAGCCGATTCAGAAGTCTGGAGTGGGGCCCAGGAATCAGTATATTTAAAAGTCCTCCAGGCAATTCCAATAGTTATGTGGAAACCTCTCCTATAATTTTGCACTGTGTCTATCACTTAATTGAGACTAAATGTGTTGACAGACCCTCTAGTATGTAGCTCTAGTATGAGGTGACCAAAAAATCCCTTAAAATATGTCTGGCTCCAGATCTCAGTCAGTCACCATAAGACATTCCTTATAACACATTTTCATCACTTAGATGGCAGCTCTAATGCAAAATCAGCCATGGGGCTTACAGGGTGACATATGAGAATCACATGCAATGGGAACCAACAATATTGATGCGAATCTGAGCTTCAATTGCAACTCGTCTATGCAGATGCTCACAACATTTCAGACCGTCTCCTAGGCTTGGATGAGTGATATGCCTAATTCTATGCATCCCATTGCCAGAACAGTGCAGTCAACCTGGGGACCATCTAGAGAGGAACATCCAAACTCAGATAATAAGCTCACTTCACAGGGAGAAGTAGAAGATACATGGAACTGGTCTCTAAATGAATGCTGAGGGATTAACCCCCATTGGCATGTTGGTTAATGTAGTTAAGTAAAGTAAAATACAATTAAAAATAGGGAACAGGATAGAATAGATGAAAGGAAACCTTCAGAGCAATAACAAAAAGAGCTTCCACTAGAAGTGAATTCCTAATGGCTTCCTAGGAAGTGGCACAACAGTGATGCCTGGAATATCAGTAATTTGGGTCACATTTTAGTTAGGTTTCAACTAAAGCTTTTAATGTATACAGGCCATAACTGATGAGATATTCTCGTAGATGGAATGAAACAAAAAGAGTAAAATAAATGAAACAAAAAGATAAAGAGGATAAAAGATAAATGTTGCTCAATGAACATTCCTCCCCCCCACCCCCACCCCCGCATCTGGCACCATGGACAGCAACACCCTAATATTTACAATTTCCTCTGTGGACACTGGTAGCTACAATGACAGCAGGAAAATAAACCCATGTCCTTACATTGTCCCATGTCCAAACATTTTCCAGAGGGCCTGGAAAGCCTCTTATGGCCCAGCTTTCTTCTCACCTCTAGAATGACCTCTAGATTAGAAGCTTCAAACCCCAGAGACACCACCTGTATCTTCCCTCTCCCTGACCCTCATGCGTGATCTCTAAAGAGTGATATGCTAATCAGTTACCCAAGCCTTAGAGAGATAAACAAATAATTTTAAAAATTGTGTCTTTATTCATGTGTCTGTTAAACACATAGCAGCCCATTAAAGGAACAAGTATCACAAATCGTGTTTCTCAACCTTTTTCCATCATGGCCTCCTCTGACGAGCTTTTTCCGACATTTTTTTAATGTCAACCCCCCCATGAAATTTTAATACCACAGATACACTATAAATCTGGTTATGTAATATATACACATAAAACCAGTACAATTTTTTCATCCACCAAGAACCAATTTTCACCCTCGTCGGGGAGATATACTCCCCACTGAGAATGCATGATCTTGAAGCAGGCAACAATTAAAGTAATTTTGCCAAAAGTATCTAACTACTGCTAATACTTAGTGGAATATAAATCACCAAAAACATTATCTTTCCTATAAATCAATAAACTATATTAAAAAGCTCCAGAGAAGCAAAGTCTTAATCTCCTGAGATTCTCCTGAGAAGAAACACAAATCTCTCTCAGTGCCTACTGCCTCTTCCTTCATCCTCCACAGGAAAGTCTTACAGAACTGACAAGCTTTACCCTCAGGTTAACACCAAACCCAGTGAAGTTCTTTCTTCAACCTTAAAGCATTTTAGCTACATGCTACACCACAAACACTGCCCACCCATTTCCACCCCATAAACTAGATAAGTGCACTTACCTCTTGCCGTTTGAAGTTCTGTACATATTCTTCAAACTGTTCGTCTTTTGTCTCATCAGCTTTTCCAAGCTTCTGAAGGACCTAGTTTGCAAATACAACAAAATGGTTTGATTTAATAATGGTTTCAAATAATAGAGCAAAGCTGTTGTTTTGCTCCTCTGCGAATTCACTCGCAGTCTAGCTAGTTTTTTGGTTCTGGAAGCATCTTGGCTTGGTGGCTTTGGAGCTGAATACACTTGGATTTCATTTATAGTTCCACCACTCACAGGCTGTGTGACCTTGAGCAAGTGTCATGCTAGGTTGAATTTGTTTACTTACATACTGTATCTGTTTCCCCTAATAGGACACAAGACTTAAAGACAAAAGCTATTCCTTGTCCTTTTGTCCAAAGCATCTGGCACAATACCTGATACATAATAGGTGCTCAAATTTTTGTTAAGCGGTGAACCAAAGTTATTTTACTACAGTATTCACCTACTCCATAGGGACGGTATTAGAATTACTGGAGTTAGGCATATGGTAAGCTTGCCTCCACCATCTTCCAATGATATTTCTTTCAACTGAATAAATACTCAAAGGGGCACTGGGCTACACAAGGCCCCATGCTAAGCACTGGGTATCCAGAAATACAAAGACAAATAAAACAAGGCCCAGCACATAATCATGGGACTTTTGCTGCTGACCTGCCCCCTGGCCCAGTGCTGGTAAAAGCGGGCCTTGGTGCACAGCGTGGTCCTTCCCACATGCACCCAGGCCCAGCGGAGGCAGACACAAACTGTGGATCACTTGTAGCTCCAAACAGGTTGCCAACGGCCAGCCACAGGCAGCGTCTTCCATTGCCCTGCACCAGAGTTCCTCCCAAGAGACCCAGAACCAATGCACCCCGTGGCCAGCATCAGACTGTATCAGATCAGGGTCCAATAAGCTTTGCAAGTGGCATATCCAGAGGGAGATATGGCACCAAAACCTGCTGAGGCAAACTCCACTTCGGGTCGTCGGCACCCGCACAGCAGATTACAAGCTATGGCTGGGGTTGATCCTCACAGTCAGCCAGCCTAAGGGGCAATCCCACACACGAATGGACCAATAGCAAGCAAGTCTCAATTACAGCATGAGGGCCAAACATGAAACATTCCTGGAGTACCCAGCTCAGGTGATCAAGGAGACTGCACCACTGAACCCCACAAGAAACTACTAAATAAGGCAACCCCACAAAGACTGGGAGTCATAGCAGATCTATTCACTACACAGAAACAAACACAAAGAGGCAACCAAAATGGGGAGAAAGTTACTTCAGAAAAAAGAAGAGGATCCCGAGAGCCACGACTGGGTACATTATTCAATATTTCCATATCTAATTTCTAAAACACAACTTATTCAAGAATATAGAAGCCCCACAAACATTGCCTTCTCAACATACCCACACCCAATGGCATTACCAAATACGTTTCTATGAAACGTAAACATTTGGGCATTAAAACATATACTCACACACAGCACTTTCTATGGCTAGGTTTTATATCACATTATGCTAATTTGCTTCCTAAAATCAAAAATCTAACCTTGTACAAATGAATAAGTCTTAATGATTCCTTTCAATGCAAAGACAGAGTGAGAAAAGTCGCCAAAACTTAGGAAGAGACAAAAGAGATTCCTGGGCGTCCCCTTTTAGTGCAGTGCTGGACTTGCACTTCTGATTGGCTTCCTATCGACTGGCTACTTATAGCTCCACAGAGACGGGGCTTAACCTGAAGATTTTTTGTCTGTAAGAGATGAAAATAGTTTCTGCTCAATGGAAACTTGAACCTCAAAAGTTTATAGCTTATGATCCTGTGCGACATTAACCAGTTTTGGATCTAAATCAGCAATCTTATTCTAAAATCCCCTTATTAAGTAGTCACAAACACCCAGATCCTCAACTACACTTTTAATCAGTTTTAAGACCTTATGAATTAATTAGAGGCCCGGTGCACAAATTCGTGCATGGGTGGGGTCCGGCTGGCCCACCCCGATTGGGGCCTATTGGGACAGGCTGGTCCCGGGGAGGGGCCGCAGGAGATTGGCCAGCTGGCCCCGTCCCTGATCTGGGTGGTTGGCTGGCTGCAGTGCGCATCATAGCGATTGGTCGTTCCAGTTGTTCAGGTTGTTTCGGTTGCTTGGCTTTTACAGACAGTCCTCGAGTTACATCGAACTCCATGTACATCATTTCGTGGTTATGTCGCCATCTCCCATTTATTTATAAAAAAAAAAAAAGTTCCGTCATTTCGACATATGTACATATGTGCTTTATGTTTTTTATTATTTATTTACCACAAGTAAAGGTCAGGATTGTTATCTTTCTTTAAAGTTTTTTTTACTGTTTCACTTCATTATTGCTGTGTATGTGCTCCATGTGAGTGACGTAGGTGCTTATGTAGGTATGTTCCAACTTACGGCGAAAATCGCGTTATTCATGCTGTAGGACTGGATCTCCAACGTAACCAGAGGACCTACTGTATATATAGATGAGTTGAATTAAAATATATGACACATGTTTATTTCATGTTTTTCATGAAAATCTTGTCTTTACTTTTGAAACATCATACTTCAATAACAGGGTCAACTTAGGAATGCTGGGAAAATGTAAAATATTGTTGTTATTATTTATTACTATTGTTCTAAGAAAGATAGGGCAAAGCAAAATTACACAGGCCATTTGCAAGAGGAGTAAAATTCAATGACACAGGAATTGTTGGTCTTGTTACCAGATCTCCTCTCATCTACTCCCATATTTTCATTCTAAGTATAATAACTTTAAGAAAGAAGAATTTTGCTTAATTGCTTCTATTTTCCTTTAAATATTTTTAAAAGAAAAACTAAGTCTCCCAAATGACCTCCCACACACAAAACACTAAAGTATCAGGGGAAAGACATCTAGTATTTACCACATGAAGTTTTTCCTAATTCTTAAAATCTACTTATTCATAAATTTTTAGTCTACCTAGATCAGATTAGTCATTGAGAGGCAGCAATACCTCATCTGCTGTTAGCAGTTCACAAAGGTCAGGAAAGGCTATCAAACTCTAATGAGCAAGCAGCACACAGCTCAGTTCCACAAGTTTATATGTTAGTGAAAAGGAACTCTTGTCTCAGAGAGTGGGCGAAAAGAAAGAGACAAGCATTTATTGAGGATCTAGTGTGTGCCTGAAACTGCAGAAAGTGATTTACACATTGCCTCTTCAGTTCTCTCAGCACCATATCTGGTACTTACTTTGGATCACACAGTGAGTAAGTGGCGTATTAGATGTCCTCAAGAAAATCCCCATTCTGAGGTCTGATACCTCTGTTGCGACCACAGATAGCCTTTTCCTTCTCATGGAAAGCAAACAGGGATATGTCAAACTATTATTCTCATATTTTCATTCAGGATTCTTACAGGCTACTCTAAGAAAGTGCATCTCCTAGGCTGCACAGCTACAACAGTGGAAATCTTTGGCAGAACCCTTGCTGAAAGTCATTATTTGATTTTCAAATCATGATTCCTTGCTTTTCATTTCTAGCAACTGTACAGTATAAATAAAACAGCAACCACAACAAAAACGAATCCTGAGTGTAAAAAGGGATAAATAAATTATAATTAGATGACACCATGAGCCCACACTTTCTCTTCTAAGGAAATAATAAAGGATCTGGAACTCCCTGAGTTACAGCACACCCACACCTTGATGTCAGCTTCCTGACAGCAGCAGCCACAGAGGAGAGATGACAAAGGAGAGATGGGACAGAGTCTAGCTTTTGCTGAGAACCTTCTCCATGTCAATTATTAGGTTAGGGAGTTTGTGTCTATTATTTCAGCTGATCCTCACTGCCACTCACTCATCCCCATTTTACAGATGACAGAACTGAGACTCAGAGAGGTCAGGCAACCTGTCTTTGTAAGTAACAGAATCCAGATTCAAACCAGACACTCCCACCCGAGTCCTCACAGTGCCTTCCTCACAGAGACAGCACCAATGGGCTGATCCAGCCAATCAAATAGGTGCCTATAATACGGTCCTAAAATATAAATGCCAACCTTCTTTAAGATCAAAATTTTAATGTAGTCATAGAGAGTGATATCCAACACAGGTGCTGAATTATTTGTCTTTATTTGCATATATCCAATGCATCCATCAAAAACCATGATGATTCTTCTTACAATAACAAAACTTATGTTTCTCTTCTTTTTCCATGCACTATTAACCTCTTACCTGAGATTAAAGGCCTACTTTGCTGAACCATCAGATTCTACCATCTTAGCTCTCTTCTCATTTTCCCAGTGCTGCCAAACTCTCTTCTAACATGCCCCTTTGGACCTGTTATTTCTCTCCTTTAAGTCCTATTATGGTTTCTTGAATCAAATTCTAATTTCTCAAGAAGGACCCTAAAGTCCCAATTCTTATAGATCAAGAGAGACAGCGTATAATGGAAAGAGCAGTGGTTAAAAGGATGGTGAGACCCTGAGGTCCTAGTCCTTAGAACGTCATTTAGGGATGGTAAGGCATATGGTCATTAATAAACAAAGATACATATATTTTAAAAATAAAATTGTATACAGATTCACACACATTACCAATTATTCTATATCGCTCAATTTCACAAGCCATCATTACATATGAATAATATAAAAGATATATTATTCCTCATTGCAAATTTACTATTTTAAAAAAAGGCTGGAGGGATCCAGTAACATAAATATTAAAAGGACAAATAATCACTCTTATTAACTAATAATATTCTCACTTATATAAGGTCTTTTTGAAAGGCAGTCCAAAATGCTGCCTTCTGAAAGAATTGGGCACTTGTAACTAGGGAAGAATTGGTAAGAAGACCCATGAGATTATGTATAAATGTAAAAAAAAGACTAATAAATATTTTAAAGTTAACAGTGGTTATTTTTAGATGGTAAGATTCAAGGTGATTATTATTTTTTTCTTTATAATTTTCTATATTTTCCATAATTTCTCAATGGTTATATGTCATTAAAGTAATCTGGAAAATCATAAAGACAAATAAAAAGGAGTTTATGAGACTGTTATTTTATATAACAGATTTATGAGTTA